CCCCAAAACCCCAAAACCCCAAAACCCCAAAACCCCAATATAGGACCACCAGGTTGGGAAATATATTAAATTATAATCAGTATGTCCAACTTTCACGATGAAAACTTATCTGAAGACCTCCTGGATGAGAATGCTTCGGTCTCTAGTGTTAATACATCTCCTAATATTGAGAAGAATATGTCTGGATCTCCATTCAGCAGGAAATACAGTCTTGATAAGGTCTTTGAACCTTCTTCAAAAGATTTTAGACTTCCTTTAATTAAATGAGATAAAGAGAAGGAAGATGATGCCAGTCAGTGACACAGTTTGAAGAAAACAACTGGAATCAAAAAGTATGCCACCAGGAGTACTCCTCGGCCATCAAAGCTTCAAACTGATATCAAACACTTGCTACGACAAGCCATCAGGATGAGAAGCTGATTGTGCAAGAACCCAAACCAAACGAACTATCAAATGCAGCCCAAGTCCCATCACCCTTGTGATGAAATCGTTGTTACAATGCAAGATATTAAAAGTGCAGAATAAGCACCTCCTATCCCTAATTAATATAAACCACATTTGGAACAGTTCATTGCTTCTTTCATTAGTTTACATGGATGGGAAAGTTTTAAGGGACAACTTTGGGAGAGTTTTCAACAGTTCTTATAAGCAAACTCGCCTGGAGAAACAATGAATCTCTCAAATTATTAGAGAATATGGATAGCCTAAGATACGGTCAGTCAATAGATACTTCGCTAATAAGAATTAAACAAATGCATATCCTTCTAATAACTGGAAGTGAGAGCATTATTAAGCTGCAAGCTTTCGACAGATACGATTTCTCATAATTGAGATTACCATAGTCAAAACTCGGTTATTGAACAATCGTTAGTAATAAATTCGACAAACCTTATAATAAACCCCAGATAGCTTTATGGCCACGAATAATATAGATAGGAGGTATAAAATAAGAGCATAAACCGCAATATTTCCAGATTCAAGAGTCTATATGACTTCAGCTAAACATTTGAGAGTCTTCCAAAGGATGTTCCCATTAGTCTATTTAAATAACCTTAATAAATGCTCTATGAATTCCTTCAAGTCTTTCTTTCTATTTCTGAGATAGAGACAATAAGTCTCTATGCGTGCTTCCATGTTTGAAAAATTTTAAATTACTTAATTTTAATATTCTTTGAAAGAATTTTATAGTTTTACTGTAGACTAATTCAGCGATACCGTCTCTAATTTTTCATCCCCAGATTTTATGAAGAATTTGAAAGTTCTTATTTTGTATGAAGAAAATTCTTTTTGAGCTGAGAGAAAAGAAAGAGAATTCTTTTTAAGAACGATGATAAACTAGGTTTAAAGAAGTTGAAGTTTCACAAATTAGTTTTTCTCTAACAGAGCTTCACTAGGATGCAAACCTGTGGATGATATAGGAAGTTATTTTGAAAAGAACCTACTGTTCATCCTTCCTATACCTTATGACTCATCAAAATGTATTAAAAAATTGTTAGACATAATTGTTTTAGCATGTAATAAAGTAAATACAGCGGTATTATTATATATAAAATACTCTTACATATGTCAAGCCTTGGTAGACTAAGGCTGCACTTGCTTTTCACGCTATCCTGCAAATTCACAAAACAAACAGATTTTATTGTAGAGTATTTGTTACTGAAATAGGGAAGTAGGTTTCGAGAGGACCTATGAATATATATCTTAATGAAGCCCACACGCTCAGCTCACACATCATTAAGCAATGAGAATTTCTAGAACCCAAAGTGCTCTCTTGTTTAAGTTTTTAGCTTCATAAAAGTACTTTTAAAATAAATTTTATCAAATTAGTAAATTAGGAGTCGCTGTAGATAATTTTAAGAGGCTATGCATCAATCGGAGCATGAAGAATACAAAGAAAAATAATTTGTGATATTTCGGACTGAATCCATCTCAAACATGTGTCTTAGTATATTTACCTGAAGATAATCAGAGTTTCACGGATCTCTTAACTCATTTATCTCAAATGATGATCCTACTTTTCTAGTAAAAATTTATCACTATCTTTTCTAATTTTGATGCAATAATTAAGGAATTCGTATACTCCAAAGCGTTATTGTTGTTGAGCTGATGACTGCCGAAAAGAGGAGAGAAAACTAGACAACAAAGAGGATACAATACCACAGTACTTCAAACCCTGTAGAATATCATACTAGCATTATAATCCATTTACTCTTTTATTTTAGAGATAATCTAACAGCTTAAGAGCTGAAGCTTTTCCAAATAAATTTTTGTTAAAACTAAAAAATATTTAATTACACTTTTGGGTTTAAATCTAGAAATTATATTTGACTTATCTTGAGTCGGGGTTTTGGGGTTTTGGGGTTTTGGGG